AAGAAGAGTGGGGACTGTATTGTGAGCATTGAAGTACATGAAATCATGTAACAGAAAACACGGAGTTTCATTCAGTGACAGTCTAGGAAATAGACTATGTGAAGCTCTCTCTAATAGTGTCCATATTTACAGATTACTGTAGGTAAATCATTTTTATAGTTTTCCTTTAATATCCTAAAGAGAAAAATTGTCCTTATAAAATGCTATGACATTATAAAAGCAGTAATAATACTTATGATAATGACTATACTGGTTTTCCAGTGATAATGCAAGAAAGTAGTGCAAACTTAGTGGTTTGAACACACATAGCTGGAAATTCAGGGACTGGCTAGAGGGAACCCATTTCCTTGGCCTCTCCAGCTTGAACAGGCAGCCCATCTTTCTTGCCTTCCTTCTCTCTCCACAGCAAGCACCACACATTTCCCTGCCCCAAGTTTCCTTCATTGTATCTTCCAGCTCTGCTTGTTAGGCCTTTGCAAGTACATTGGACCCACTGAAGAAATTCAGGATAAGCACCTGATCTCTGGGTCAGCAGATCAGCAACCTTAATTCACCTTTGCCTCAAAACATCACATATATACAGACACTGGGATTAGGACTTGGACATCTTTAGAAGACTATTATTATGTTAACTATTGAATAGATACTACTTCTGAAACATAGCTCTAGGCCTATTATATAAACAAAGGAATATAATTCTCATAACAGTGGTAGATTCTAGTATGATTCTCAATTTCAGATGAAGAAACTGAAGCACAATGGTTAGCTTTCCCAGTGTTACTCAGGTAAGTACATGAGTCAAGATTAAACTCAAAGTCCTCATGCAGAGTCTGAACTTGCAATAACTCAAGTCTACCACTTCAAAGACAAATTTTTCATGTAAGCATTGTTTTAATTATTACCAACATGTTTGAGCCACAGGCAACCATTTCTTTTAAAATATTTTTAAAATTTATGTTTTACTTTTGTGTATGTATATTTACATGTGTGTAGGCACATATATGTGAGGGCAAGCTTGCACATATGTGCACCATGCATGTGGAGGCCAAAAGTCCCTGTCTAGAACTTGTAATTCTAACTACTCTTGCCTTTACTTCTCCTTCACACCTCCTATTCACCAGTCAAGGACTTTCTTCTCCCTAGAGATAAGAGTTATGCAATTTGGGAGACTTTTAGATAGACCCACTGAAGGGGTACCCCAAGTGCCTCACCCTGTATCCCTGTTCAGCATGGAAGAAGCCAGAGCAGTCTACATCCCAATTCTCTATTGGCAATTTGGGTAACTTCTTCAGAGGATGGCGTGATAAGAATAGGAGGTGGGAATTGGCTAGGCAGTTGAAAAGTAGCCAATTTCTTGGCTAAAAGTCAAAATGTCTTTGGGCCTCTTAACAACATACTCCGTTTCAAAGGCCAAAAATGTCTAAAGTATTTGGGAGCTCTTATCTAATCCCTAAATGGGCCAATTATATAGTCATACATAAAATAAGTGAGTTTCCTTCCACCTATAGTACAAAGGCCAGGAACTATTTCTTTCATGGAAGGAAAGAAGGAAGGGAGGGAAGGAGGGAGGAAGGAAGGAAGGAAGAAAGAAAGAAAGAAAGGAAGGAAGGAAGGAAGGAAGGAAGGAAGGAAATGAATGCATGAAGTTTTCAGAAAAAAGTGATGGGGAGATATGGGAGGTGTTGGAGGGGAGGGGGTGGGCATGGATTTGATCAAAACACCTTTTATGCATGTATGAAATTCTCAAAGTTTTTTTTAAGTTATAAAAATCATTTTTTAAATTTATATTTTATTTTTGTGTATGTATATTTACATGTGTGTAGGCACATGTGTGTGATGGCAAGCTTGCATATATGTGCACCATGCATGTGGAGGCCAAAGGCTGAGGTTGGATTTCTTCCTTGATTCCTCTCCACCTTATATATTGAAGCAGGACATATTTCTTGAGCCCAAAGTTCATCAATTTGACTACTCTCACTAGTCAGCTTGCACTGGGATCCTGTGTATACCAGGAATTACAGGTGGACCACCATGCCTGCTTAGAAGTTATGTGGATGCTGGAATCTGAACTGTGATCCTCTTGTTTGCACAGCAAGTGCTTTATCCACTGAGCCATCTCCTCAGCCTAATAGCCCACGACTTTTGGTCATCATAATACTGACATCCTTAAGTCTAAGACTCAAGGTAGAAAAGGAAGGACAGACTTTAGACTGATAAGCAGGAAGAACAAACCAATGCTTACATAGTTTGTCTTACTGAGAGTCATTAGATTCTGGGTCATGTCAAATAAAATGGAGCTGCTGCTCGACACTAAGCTCTTAAGCTAGGTCATAACAGAACAGTCTTAAACCGGAATGAAATCACTTGATCATCCTGAATTAAAAAATGGTCAGTTTTCAAACAATAACAACAAGAACTACAACAAAACACAAAACAGGTGATTCACAACAACCAATCAAAAGGGATCTGGTCAATTTGAGCTGTCATGTGGAAGGCTTCTGCTGTAACTCTGTAGGGAAAGTAATTTTGCAGTGGCCAGTTCATTTTGTGTTCCTTGTTTCTGCCTTCTCCTGCCTTTTGCTGCTTATAAAGCCGGTGTGTGCCCTCTGCACAGCTCATTCAGGGCCTTTCTGTCCTGTAGCTGAGGTACTGCTTGATTCAGTAATAAAAGACAATTTGATCTTTAAGACTCAGTTTATAAAATCTCATTCTTTACTAATCAGATGACTATTAGGGTATCAGACCTGCTGGAGGGTATCAGACCTCAGCAAGACACAGCATATCTTGTTCTAACGCATCTGGGGGCAAAGTTATTCCTAAGATTTTGAGGCCCCTGGAACAGCATTGTCTGAATAACGGATATTTGAGGGAAAAGTTTGGAGTTATTCATACTATTTGTTTCCTTTAAATGTCACTTTACATTTCTTAAGGTCTTACAGAGAGAGAGAGAGAGAGAGAGAGAGACAGAGACAGAGACAGAGACAGAGACAGAGAGAGAGACACAGAGAGAGAGAGACAGAGAGAGACAGACAGAGAGAAAGGGCTGAGGGAGGGGGAGAAAGAGAAAGGAAGAGAAAGGGAGGAAAGGTAGGAGGCAGAGAGGATAGGAAGGAAGGAGAGAAAAAAAGAGAGGAGTTTCTTGAGACAGAGTCTCTCTATCTCCTTATAGCCCCAGCTGACCTGGAACTCTATAGAGATTAGGCTGGTCTTGTTTTTAGAGATCCTCTTGCCTCTGCCTCCATAGGGCTGGTATCAAAGGCATACGCTACCATGCCCAGCCTGCAAGTTTTCTTTCTGAAAATATCAGTTAAATATCCCAAACTGAAAACAGTATATTGCATCACTTAACAGTTTTAAGAGAGTTTAAGCATTCTAAGGGTTTCACAAGAGGTAGCTAAATTTATCATATCCTGTCTTTACTTTTAGTCCATAGAAAAGAAGTATAAAGATTAATTTGATGGAAAATTATAGTAATAATTTCTTCCCCCACCCCCAACAAGAAAATCTCTCAGAGAATCTGAAGTTATTTTTATGAAGGAAAATTATTCATAACTTTGGTTTGTTACTGGTAAAAGTTTTCTGACCCTTGCCCTAAGCCAAGAGACAGCATGTTTGAAAGGGTCTAATACATACCTCTTGGTAGGGAGGCCCCAAACTGGTCTGAGGAAGTATTAGGAAGCTAAGTTGGTTGCCACCTCTATGGTGGGGTAAGGAGGAAGGAGAGCGGTAGAAAGAAGCTGGAGGGGATGAGAGATCAGTGATCCTAGTAGGCTGGGGAGATATTACTGCAGTCGCTGCACAGGTTAGAGCCTTCTCAGGCTGCCACTATGCAAGAAATCCACTACCTAGAGAAGGGGACTCCAGGCATACTGTCTGAGGTCAGGGGCTAAGGGTCAATGATCCTTAGGAAGTCAGTAGAGGAAATTATTTCCACCAGCTGCAATTGATATAATAAAGAGCTTCATGAGTCCTCTACAAAAGTGCCCATAAAGGGCCTCCTTTGGCAAGCTTGCAACACATACACCAGTTAAGTAAAAAACTCTTCCATTTAACATTGCTCTTCCCCATCCCATGATTCCACAGACGGGGAAGTTGGAGAAGGTAAGCTTCTGCCTCCAAATACATATACGGTTTCCCTTGGGGTTGAGATTCTATGATCAGGGAGTAGGTACATTTTGACATAGTAGACTAGTTGCTTGAGTCTCTGACCAGAGACATTTTGGTTCCCAAAAGTGATAAGAAATCTATCAGCCAGATCACAGGGAAACCAAGATGTGGAGAACCCAGCTAAAGCTATCTTCTGACTATATGCTGTTCAGCCCTCCTAGCCAATGAATCTACTGCATTTGAAATCTTATCTCACACCTCTAGTGGGCCCATAGGCAGGTATGGTACTAGCCTCATTTTGAAATTGTGTGTGAAACCCATGGCTGAGACGTGGAGGATCCTGGTTTGAGATCAGAGTCATTTGGCCTTCATCCCCTTGACATCTCCAATGCATCACAGTGCCTCTGAAGGTGACAGTTACTGTGTTTGGAGGCCTGACCACCTGAGTATCAGAAGTAACAGAAGAATGAAGACACCATGATGTGTCTAATTTAAAGGAGGTGTTCCACAGGTAACATCTGGTCTCTTGCTTTCACTGTGCAGAGAGATGTGCCGGGAGCACGTAAGTATGAAGGTAGGTACTGCCAGTGCCCTGCTGAGCGGTGGCCTGTCTTTGACAACAGGCTTATGACAGTTTCTTGTCATCACCACAATTTCAGGGACCAGCCAAGAAGGTTCCTTTTACCTTTTGTGCAGTGTGTGTGTGTGTGTGTGTGTGTGTGTTGTGTGTGTGTCTGTGTGTGTGTGTCTATGTCTGTATATGTACGTTCATAGTCTTGGTTTTTATGAAGGCAGCTGAAAATGAGGGAAAATTTGCACTTGTTTTGAGCATATACAAAGGAGGGATTTCACCAGGAGAAACAAAAGGAAGGGCCTTCAGAGCAGGCCCTTACCTCAGCATGGCACCGAATCCCTTCCTCTTCATTTTCCTCTCCACGTCTTCATTTTCATCTTTCCGCTTTTTCTCCTTGACTTTCAACTTGACCTTTTCCTTTTTCTTCTCCTTCTCTTTGTGTTTCTTGACTTTCCTGGCTTTATTTTCCACGTCCTGTAGCTCAGAGTTCTCCTGAGGGATGGACTCACAATTCAGAGCTCCTTGGCCAGAGTGAGAGCTCTTATCAGACAGACCATCTGTGGAAAGAAAAATCAGTATCCATGGTCAGGGGCACTTACAGTTAGTACATAAAGAAGAGTCAAAATGTAAGACACAGAAGAATGAATAGAAGTGTTCTACCCAACCACATGGCTACTTGTATGCTTTGAAGACATGACTGCCCTAACCTGGGTACTTCAGCAAAGTCTGAGGCTGGGAGTGGGGCCCTTTGGATGCTAGCTGTTATCATAAAAGGCATGAAATGTACTAAGACACTAATCTCTCTGAAGGCTGGCTTGTTGACCTTGATCAGCTCAGAAAGCCCACACGCTGGGAAACAAACAGGGTGAGTTTCTTTCTGAAGAGGTTTTTGAGTATAACTCTAACCCACTGCTTCTACTCAATTAATGTAGTCAGTCCTCTGGTTGATGCTGCTTTTAATGACTCAAATAAGAGTGTCAAGAAATGCGTACTTAGTGCTCCCACCCTGAGGGTAAATGACAGTTGGTCCTCGTAGGAAAGCGAAGGAGAATATTTCTTTAGTGTTTGCACTGTAAAATAAATTGAATATTGCATTCTCCATTTCCATGTTCATTAAGCCAAAGGGCAAAACATATCAGGAAAATGAATTACTTTTAATATCAAAAATATAATTGTGCTCCTTAAATCATTTTTTTCAGTAGTTAAGTGCATATTTTCATCTATGATTTGCAGATAACGAGGGAAGAAAGCACTTAAAGGAGCATATGGCCCTACCGGCTTCCACATCTTCTGGTCCATCATACGATTTGTCAATGGCTGCCCTGAAGCTCTCGTTGCAGCCTCGGCCTCGCACCATGTGTGGCCGGGGCCTGTGGAAGGGTAGCTCATTCTTCCTGACTTCAGCCACTGCAGTCTGCAGACTCTCCAAGGAACTGGACTTTTTCAAACCCAAAGTCGGACCGAAATCTTTGCTTGGAGAGTCTGGAAAAGAAAGAGTAAAACGTCACCCTTCCCAGAATGAACAGGATGCCATTGTGGAAACACCTGTTATCCAAGAATTTTCCTGTTTGGGCTTCTTCAAAAGGAGGGTGTTAAGAGAGTAGGGGGTGGTAAACTCCAGCTTGGCCATCTTTTGTGACCTTGAGTAAGTAGTTTGACCTCTCTGAACCTTTCCTTTTCTACAGTTATAACACAATTTTGGATAAGAATACTTAAATGTATATCACACATAGAAATGTATATGTGTATATATGCATGTACATACAGACACATACATGTGAACTTGAAGGGTGCATATATGCATATATGTGTGTATACAGAAACACAAACAGTGCTTCCCTTTCATATCCAGCCTCAGCATACGCTGTACCTATTATTATGACGAGGGTTATTTAAATGCTGTTAGGGAATATATTGTCTGCAAATCAAGGAACATTAGTGAATACAATTTTTGTGATTAAATGCTTTATCTTATCCTAAAGACTATTCATGTGTGCTGAATGAAATTTATTCAGTCTGTAAATAAAGCAAAGCAAGGAATAAAAAAAACCCTTTTCTTTGTCTGTGGTAGTCGTCCAAGTGCATTTCTATTTGAATGTAGGAATGGAGCAGACTTTTTATATAATATACCTTTATAGAGCAGAAAAAATTAGATGTGAGTTTTAAAGATATGCCTTTAATATACTTTATTTTCTACTCAGAAAGTTTGCTTTGCCCTGGGCCTGCTCCCTCCACTCCATTCCTTGACCTCCATTCCTGCTCAAGCAAGTCTCCCAATCATGAATAACAAGATTAAGCTATATAAATATTAGCAGCAAAAGGGTGACTTAAAAGATGGAAATAATTTCATTAAGGCTTTTGTTTCTACATTCAGAGCTGTTTCACCAGGGCCTATCTGTTCACTCCCCGACCCAAGCTATGAGAGAGACTATTGTCATCATGATAGTGCACTGTTTCTGGATATAATTAATAGATGTGGAATGAGCATATATTAAAACTCATGTACGTTAAGTGCCGACTTTAATGCACAGAATATCCTAAGGCTCAGCTAAGGACAATAACTTTCATCACTGTTGTTGCTATTTCCATTTCTACCTCCATTGTCACCATGGCATGACTATTAGTTGTTTACTATATAGTACAAGGGATATAAGACAAGTACAGAAAAGGCATAATGTATACATGCAGTCCTATAAGGTTAAATAGCAATACATATACTTCTACCTTTGCTAAAATATGTAAAAACATGGTTATAGCTAGCAATGTATAGACTATTTGGCTTGTGCCAAGCACTACTCTAAGTCTTTTACTGATATCGATGTACTGCAATCTTTATAATTGGACGACTGGTACTACTATTAGAATTTTATTTATTTGTGTGTTTTATTTTTGGCATTAGGAAATCAAACCCAAGGCCTTGGGTATGCTAGACAAATACTCTGTTACTGAACCAAATGCCTAGCCCCTGTTAGCATTTTATAGATGAGAATATAGAAGTCATGTCTTTTGGCTGCATCCTTAATAAACATCCCACTGAGCATGGAGCAGAGACAGTTCAATTGCAACTTTTCTGCTCAGTACCCTGCACTTTACTACTTCAAGATGTGTTCAGCATCTGCCCTCTACTTGAGTATGGTCAAGCTACCTTCGCTTCCTTCATCTCCACGATCACAATATTATCATAGATGAGCCCTGGAACCCAGCCAGTCAAGCAGGCAAACTGCAAAAATTGGATATCACTTTATGGTTTCATCATTAATTTGCAGGAGGCAACTTCACACTGTGAACAATACACATGATAACAATAACCACTGCATTTTATAAATGACAATGCATATTCAATAAAGGAAACTGAAAAGACACTGAGGGAAAAATACAAGAGAATTCAGGAAGAAATTTCAAGTGCTACTTACAAGCATACATATTAAAGATATGCTACTGCTAAATCCAGAAAAAAAGGCATGTTTCTTCCACTCAAAGTAAGCGAGGTGAAATAAAGAAACAGAAATCAAATTAGATTATTTCTGACAAGAAAACAAAAGGCAACATAGAGATTTGGGAATATTGAAACAACAGTAAAAGCTTTGGAATTTATAGAATATACTTTTTAGCATCAACCCCTAGAGATGTCTGACGTAAAATTTGGTGAGAACATGAAGAAAAGAACTGAGAAGACCTAGATCCTCTGTCAACAGCAGTAATCATCTTTTATTTATTAATTGTCACATGGGAGATTATATTAGAGCCCAAACTGTAAGTATTCATTTCAACCTTTAGCAATAAATTCCAGGGAACTTGAGAGTGAATAAATCATCCAAGATATAAGGTGTGTTATCTGAAAAGAGCTCACCTAAAGCCAAGCAAGAACTTCTGAGGGGAAACAAATACTCATTATAAGTGAATGAAAGGTTTGATAGAACTGGCAATCAATTTACTTGATATGATAAAAATAGAAGTCTTAAATGAGAAGCCCAGTGATGCTGGGCACCCGTACAGCCTATTGCCATCGCAAGTCACATGTAGTAAAATTAAAAGGTTGAGTCCTAGGCTTTATATTTGGACCCAGGGATTTTCCTCTTAAGGAAAAAGAATTCAATTCATTCCTAGGGAGTAAACAGAATGTAGGCCCAGAAAAGACACTGATATTAGATAGAAAAGCCCCCAAATCAGGAAGGTCCTTTTAAGGATTTACACATACATGAATGGACTGAAGTCGATCTCCTGGTGATAAAGGACCTTGCTATAAATCTTCACTTTGGCCTTATGTGTTCTTTTGTGTCTTAGGTCTTTAACAAAAGGTCAAAGTTAGCAGGCACAGGAAGGAGCAGCTGATGAGCCTCAGTGCTAAGTTCCAGCAAACACTTGGGGCAAGTGCCCTATCAGGTAGAGAGCATGTGATTGTCACAGTCAAACTGTCCTCCCTACTACTTTCATCAGTGTCAGTATAGGCTGACAATTTGTAGGAAATTTTATAGTTTTCAGAATGAGAAGATTCCTTTTCTTCTTCTAGCTTCACTATTTACACAGGTCATATTTTTTTCCCAGACTCCGTCTAAAAGTAGAGGTCTCCTTGAAGGAATAATACAAAGTGAGTAATTTATCAAAATCAAAATCTCAGCTACTTGAGCTCATTAAGTCGCCCTAAAATATGATGAGTCTTTACATTTTCATTTACAGCTGAAGTGATGGAGACTAGGTTGATGGTAAGCAATTGTCTGGGCACATGATCCATGGATACCATGTGTTATTCGTCATGGGATGGACCCTGTCCAGATTTAATCACTTGCTTGTCCCACTTTTGAGTATTCAGACAGTCTGCATTTGAATGTTCAGTGAATTCCTGGTCAGTTCAGGTTACTTGCAAATGCTAGCCTTTAGCAGCCAGTTTTTCAGGACTTCTCCACCCATTTGCCATGTTCTATAAGTTCTAAATGAACCTACTGTTCTCTCACAGACATGAACTGACACACATGGACTTCATCAAAGAAATGATGCAATTGTGAAGAATAAACTGAAAGAAACATTTACTAACAAAATTATTCTCAGGATGTTATAATAAAATATTCTGGATATCATGTGATAAAATTTTCCTTAAAATTCAGGCCTCATAAGGAAATACTACCAAAGTTCATTGGTTTAGAAAATATCATGACACTTTTGATGATTCCATCTGTTCCAAAAGGAAGAATTGGCTTGACTTGGTCCTCAAACCCTTCCACATAAGAATAAAAGGGAATTTCAGGTCATGCCTTTTGCACTCAACAATCCTTGGACACATTCAGTCTCTTCCAGAAAAAATAGAGACACTTGTAAAATCAAACCCCAAACATATAGACACATGATGAATGTGTGCTTAGCTCTAAACAGGACATCTATACCATTCTCTCTGAGGCTTAGGAAATGGACAGGGCAGAAAGAATGTAATAGCCAGAAATTATGGAAAAGCAATACAAAATGATAAATTCTGGATAAGACATAGCCATTTCCATCACAGACTCACATAAGCTTCAGACACCTGCATTGGGTTTGTGCAAGAATGGGCCCATCAACAGCCTGGCATGGATGGACCAGGTGCTCAGAAGGTTATACCCCTCACTCTTGAACTATTTGTTACTGTTAGATTCAAGGAGACAGAATCATTGCCTTCAGTTGTGTACCCACTGATGACCCTACCAGGTTTCAATGGATAGTTCTGGTCCAATGGTCACAAAGAAGGCCCTGGTAAAACTAAATGTCAAATGGTCACAAAGAAGGCCCTGGTCAAACTAAATGTCAACAAAATTAAACCTAGAGTCATGAATCTGGGAAGAGGACTGGTAGGAATGGGGGGGTATATTGATAGGAGTAGGAAAGAGATATGAGAGAGTAGGGGCAGAGTAATCAGAAACATTACGTACATGTGCAAAAATTGTCAAATAACAAAATTGACCAATAAAAATGTATTTGTGGGGCAGGAGAGATGCTTCAGCGGTTAAGAGCATTAGCTCTTGCAGAGGACCTGGGTCTGGTTCCCAACACCCACATGACAGCTCACAACTGTCTGTAACTTCGATTCCAGAGGATCTAATGCCCTCTTCTTGCCTCTTCAGGCATCAGGAATGCATGTGGTGGTGGACACACAAAAATACAGGAATGCATGTGGTGGTGGACATACATAAATACAGGAATACATGTGGTGGTGGACATACATAAATACAGGCAAATCCCACACAAAATAAAAATAAATCTTTAAAAAATGCTTTATACATACAATGAAACAAAACAGAAAAAAAGATTTAAAGGAGTTTTGTTACAATTTTTCCCATAAAGAGAGGGTAAGGAGCCCCTTTCAACATACTACGAACCTGAAGACCTGAAAGACAACTGAGATTCAGGACTAAGGTGTCAGATACCTTCACTTGCCCTGTAGCTGAGAACTGCTGTTGGTTTCCTTTAGGCAGATGATTTGGATAACAGGGAATAGAGGTGTCTAGAGAGTAGTC